CGCATTGGCTGCGCTGAGGATCTCGTTCTTCAGCCAGCCAATGGCGCTGTCTCGGAGCGTGCGGAGACGCTCCTGCTCGAGCACTTGGCGGATGAGCTTGAACCGGACGAGCTCGGAGGGATGGCTGTGGACGACCGCCCCAGGGATGTCCCGGATGGAGCCATAGCTCTGGCGCGACGTGCAGGCCGTCAGGGTCAGGACGAACTCGCCAAACTCCTTCTCACTCTTGACCTCTCCGAGAGACCGCTCCATGGAGAACACGGTCAAGGTAAGCAGGGAGTCGAGCAACGGCTGAGGATGGCCAAAGGCCACTTCGTCGGGTGTGCTTTTTTGACTGATGAAGTTGGAGAAGATCCGCGCCAGGTCTGGGAAGACGGGGATCGGCGTGATCTGACCAGAGCTGAACAGCTCCGCCATGGCGGCCCGCGCGGCCAGGAGGAGAAGCGAGCCGTGTCGCTCGAGTGGAATCTGATCCGCCGTCCGGGGCGGCTCGTCGAAGTCCAGCGGCGGAGGTTGCGCCTCGGGTGGTCCAGCCACTATATCGAGGAGCTGCTGGTCGTCGATGCCAAAATCACGAGAGAGCGCCTGGTACAAACCATTAGTCACACGACATCTTCTGGGGGAGACAGCCAGTCCACTTACGGTGATTTTGGCCATGATCATGTCTCGTTCTCGCAGAGCTTGATCATTGGTGTACTGGTCGGTTGGCGAGGCCTTGTTGGGGATGCGGATGCGCTTCTCGGGGTGCAATTTCTCCTGGAGCCGGATGGCCCAAGACATGCCCGGATCCGCGGGGCCTGAGAAGCTCAGGAGGTACGACTTGAGGAGCTCGACCAGTCCAAACTGCAAAAACCTCTTCACCAGGACCGACTCGTCGTTGATGCTGGCGGGGATGTGGGAGTGTTCCTCTGCCTCTGGGTCAGGCGCCGACGCTTGGGCCACTCGCAAGAGGGAGGACTCGCTGGCGGCGCGGGGCGGGGGTGCGGGTCGCTTCGATGGCGAGACTTCACGGAAGAATTCGAGCAAGGCAAGGGTGGTCTCGTTCGTGGGCATCGTAGTATAGGCTTCGAGAACGGCTTGGATGGAGGTGGCCAAGAACCGGCTGGGGGACTTGGTCCGAATCCGCCCATGCAGAACGGAGAGCATGCCGAGGAGGGTGTTGAACTGTACAATATGTCGGGCTAGCGGTTTGGCCTCATCGTCCGATTCCACGGCGACATCTCCCGACTGCGCATCTCCCGCGACAGGCGCTGGGCCCTTGGATTCCTTGACCTCTGCAATTTCCTCCTCCTCCTCCTCCTCCTCGTCGTCCGGCTCGAGTTTCATCAAGGCGTCCGATACCCGCAGGATGACCTCTCTGGGGTTACCCAGGCGGGCAATGTCGTGCAGGCATTCCAACGACCGGGGGAGCATTGGAAGAAGGAGCTGGACCAGGTCCCAGCCAATGTTCGTGGTTAAGGTCTCATCTTGGAGGAGTTTATGCAAGGTGGGGAGCCGAGCGGGGGTCAGTTGGTACTCCAATACAGTGAGATAGGTGAGGTAGTCGGTGGCTGGGGGCAAAGTCTTGATGAGGGGATCCTCCTCAGCCATGATGACGATGGAGTATACACAAAGCAAGAGAGAAGAGGAGAAGGGAGTCTGGAAAGCGGTTTACAGGAGGGAGTGAGGTGGGAGATGAAAAGGGGAGAGAGTGTGTGTGGTGGTGTGTCAGCCGCGTGCGGAACGAGGGTCGAAGGATTGAATTGATGCGATGACGTCATTCGCTGGGTTTAAGCCAGTTTCAGCCAAGGTGGGCATTCTCCTGAATTCTTCAATGTAGAGAACTATCTCCAAGGTGGATTGACTTGGGCTGAAGTAAACATTATTCGGAGAAGGGAATTCTAGAAGGAAGATCTTTTGCTGTCATGCACGGTTGGAAACAGGGACAGCGTCCATTGGATCACGGGATGCATAATCTCAATTCTGGTGTATCATCTTTGTCAGATTCATAAGAATGCGCATAGTATATCATGTGATTTTATCGGCACTCAAATGCATAGCTGCATAATAAACTTATGCATAGGGCGCATCACATGACAAGCCACCGCGGATCTTCATTTTTTTAAGACGGATTGGGTTTGATTGATCGTTTCCCAGATTGAGAGAACCCAACCCGAACACGAAATACGAGTCTAAGCTCCGTGATCTACAGGATAATAACGGCTACCCCGAACGAGTAGCTGCCCACTCCAGCATCGTGCAGGGCCAGAGACCTCCAAAATGCATCGCCCCCAAACCGAGGGACGTGCACGCGATCGTCCCAAGGCGTTGCGTTGTTATATACCGGATCCGGCGAAGTGGATAAAATAGTGGGCTGCCGCCGGCGCAAGGCTGGAAGCCTGGAAGAGTATGAAAGATAATGCGACAGTCAACCGAGTCAACACAGGATCAATTGGTTCTTGTCATTTGGCCAATACGGTCAACGGGAAAGGATAGATGGATAAGACGACGGATAGTGGATAAATGAAGATTCATCTCGAATTTGCAAGGATCCCGCCCATCGAGCCGAACGGTGGCATGTCATAGGAGGAGAGTGAAACTACCCAGTACCAAGCATGAGATATCCGGATCATACTCAACACTAATACTACGACAACCACCGAAGAAGGTATAGTTCGACTCCTCTCTTGGTCCGAAAGTGCCGTTTGTCGTCCATTCTGATTGGATCCATGACGCAAAGCTTGCAGAACCATTTAATTAATCAATTAACCCATGGACTACTCCGTACTTACCTATCTAGGGGACTCTCGGAGGAATGAATCAAGGCGCAAGTGTGGGAAATTGGCCTGATCTGCACAGCTTTGGCAAGGCTGGGTTTAATGGGCTGTACATTTTATTTAATTAATCTTTTCCTCTTATATTATTACCCACTGTTCTGTTAGATTATTAGTATGATGATGCCCTACCCGCGCTGTACCGATCATCCGAAGGAATTACTAACTCCAAACTGATTTAGCCTTGGGACAGCCTAGTTTTTGGTTTCCTAGAGTTCCTTGATTCGTTTCTTCGATCCTACTTACCTAGCTTGGAGGTATATAATAAAATAATAGTAATAATTCCAGTGGTTGAGGCCGTTGTTGGTCCCATCCCATCCGGTCTGCTCCCTCTCTTAAGGCTCTCCCTCCCTCCCTTCCCTCTCTCCCTCTCTCCTCCCTTCCTTCGATCCCTCTCTCTGTATATTATTCCTCCTTCTAATCTTGCTAATTCAATATACATCTACATACACAACTTCATTCTTATTCCCTACTGTTTCAATTTATTTTCCTTGGTCTGTGTTTTTCGTTCATTTCCCCTCCTGGACTGTCCTCCCGATTGAGGTCTTTCTGAGCCCTTCCGTCACTTCCGGTTTCCACACCTATCCGGCCCTTGATTTCGCCTGAAATTTGACCTTTAGTCGACACCTTCCCCCGCGCATTACACATCCTAAGAGAAGGGCAAAGCAAGAAAAGCAGAATAGGTCAAGGACACACTGTGAAGGAAGCGAAAGTGGGATATCTCCAGGGCACTTCGGTGGAGAACCACATCAACCCGGTATACAATACGCCGTTTGGGAGGATTGGAACCAGGACAGAAGAACACAGGAGGAAGGAGCCTCTCAGATCTCCAGGCCAAATAAGGACTATATATATTACATGAAGGATCAAGGTCCACCGTCACAATGGCACCCGAAATGCAATCGTTCTATACTCCCTCCACGTCGAACCATATCTCCTCCCGCGGCACGGCGGCCGTTGACGAGCTCATCACCAAATATTCTTCCTCCATGTCCTCCACCACTCCCGGGGCCTCCAGCGCCAGCAGCTTCCCCGCGCGGAACAGTCGTCGGAATGTCGTCCTGCGATGTCTCGACCGCGTTCGCCTGGAATATTACCGCTACGAGGTCACCTTCGGGCTGTACGTCATGACCCCTGGCGAGAAAGTCGTGGCCAACTCCTTCGTCTTCGTCGTCTTGTCGCTGCTGTTCTGGGCCCTGTTGCTATACTTCCCGACCTTGCTCTACCAAAAGTTGACCCGCCTCGTCTGGTTGTTGACGGGTCACAGCAGTCAAGAGATGGGCGCTGCGCTGGGGATCCTCGACACCCATGCCACTTCTATCTCGGCCCTTCACACCCGGTAACTCTCTGCCGTCGGGGTCCCTGGATCGGGTTGACACTGCGGTCTTGGGGAAGTGACGGCTTTATCTCATCTCTGTCTATCTTTCGATTTCTCGATCTTTCGAACTTCTCTTTGGTTGTCATTTTTTCTTTCTTTTTCTTCTCCTTTGCGGAGTTTAATCGGGGCGGCGTTGACGGGTTCACCGTCAGCATCGCATACTTCCCTCCGCGCGCATATAATGAACTGAACGGCAAAGATTGCATTGGATGGAATTGGACGCGAACACGAGCGGGGGCTGAAAACGGTGGACAAGGTGGGCACGCGCGAGTCTTGTTCTTAATCACTGCTCCTCTCCATCTGGGATTGGTCAGTTGCGTATACCTGGGTATCTGGTTTATTATTCGGACCACGGTCTGCGCGTCATCATTGGGAGTATCATTCTCATATTACCACCACCGGGAGCGATATCACTCGGTGTTTTCTTGTTTGGTTTCTTGTTGGAATAGCTGTTGTACTTCTTGCGACTCGGGTCAACCCGTTTGCTAATGCTTAATGTCATCAAACACATCACACTGTCGTTTGGATCGTTCCATCTCGAAAATGATTGCCTCATTGGTACTGGCTAGCGTCTACGTGGCTAGCGTAGTCTTAAGTACCAGAAGGATGAAACAGATGGTGTGGCTCAGTCCATTAGGCAGAGGCATAGAATGGGCGGGAGAGAGGCTGATGACGAGATTGTCAATGATCGGCGTTAAAAATAGCAGTAACTGTCGGTTTACGAACTTGGGAGCCTAACCAGACTCTGTCCCAGACAACGGAGTAATAACTAGTCACATAACCACGGTAACTTTGTCATTTCTGTTGAAATCGAATTAATCCATCCATTCCAGGTCTCTCTCTCTCTCTCTCCGTCCATCTCTTCTACACCGCCCTCATCAGGATTTTCCTTCCATCTATCTTGCGGTCTGCTTTCTTCCTTTCTTTCTTGTAATTGATTTCCTCAATATTTGGATGGAATCCGACTGGAATTGCCTTCCTGTATTGAATTTCTCCTCGCACGTGGCCGAGGTTCCTATCGTTTGTGCCTCCAGGGGTCCCGTGTGGCTCTCGCCCCAATCGAACCGCGGGCCGCGTGTTGACAACTGCACCGCACGGTCTATTGTCGACTTTGGCGCCGTATAGCGCCCGATCGATTCTACAACTGCCATATATACCTTCCACCCCCTTTCCTCCTATCGTATCTCGTTTCAAATCAGCCGGTAATTCGGGGGACAAAAGACAACATCTCATCCCCTGCGCCCTCCGGTCAACATGGCGTCCCACGACTACTACAACACCGGGTACGGCAACAATCCCCCGACTTACGATCACACCGTCCCTCCGACTCATACCTTCAACCGACCCTCACCTTCGCCATCACCGGCTCCCTCTGCCGCCTACACGGGCTATCCGGGTCCCGGCGGCCATCTCTACTCGCCCACCACCGATCACGATCCCAATCACCTCCGGTATAGTCAGCAGTCCCTGGGCTCGGAAACAGGACATGTCGTCGGAGGGAGACACAATGAAGCGGACCAGTATTCGGAGAACATCCCCTTAAAATCCCAGAACCAATATGCGAATGACGGGTCGTCGCCGGATTGGATGAAACAACAGCCGACGCAGCGCCCGCCGGGGCCGGAGATGGGGGAACCACCCGTCCGCGCGGGGCGGAAGCAGAAGAAAGGGTTCTTCAAGAAGAAGCTCCCCTGGGTCACGTATACCTTGACCCTGATTCAGATTGTGGTGTTTATCGTGGAGCTGGTGAAGTCAGGTATGTGTTCCTGGCGCGGACGAGAGAAAAGACGATCCACAACTTTCAAGGAGCTAACCGGTCCCTGTAAAAGCGCAACTAAGCGGATCACCGATCCAGACCAAGCCCCAGATCAACCCCATGATCGGTCCATCGTTATGGCTCCAGGTCAACATGGGCTCGCGCTTTACCCCCTGTATGAAAAACGTCGACAAGCTACAAAACAGCCCCGAGGAGGTGCTCTTTCCCTGTCCGGGTGCTACCACGAACGAATCCAAATGCAAGCTGTCACAAGTGTGTGGCTTTAGTGGGGTCCCCAATCCGGTGGGCAATCAACCGCTGGACAGCCACCCCCAGCCCAATCAGTGGTACCGGTTCATCATCCCCATGTTTCTCCACAGCGGATTTATCCACATCGGCTTCAACATGGTGGTCCAGCTAACCATGGGCGTCGACATGGAGCGCATGATCGGATGGTGGCGGTATGGCCTCGTGTATGTCGCCAGCGGCATTTGGGGTTTCGTCCTGGGTGGGAACTATGCGTCGCAGCTCGAAGCCTCCTGCGGAGCCTCGGGAGCCCTCTTCGGAATCCTCGCGCTCTTCGTGTTGGATCTTCTCTACTCGTGGAATGAGCGGGTGTCACCTTGGGTTGAACTTATCATCATGATCCTAGGGATTGCCGTCTCCTTCGTCCTAGGCCTGCTTCCTGGATTGGACAACTTTTCCCATATTGGTGGCTTCATCATGGGTCTGGCCATGGGCCTCTGTCTGATGCGGTCGCCCAATGCCCTTCGAGAACGCATTGGTTTGGCGCGGAACCCCTACGTCGCGATGAGCGGCGCGGCCGGGGCGGAGACCGAGGAGGACAAGGTCCAGCGTGGCCCCGGCTTCCTCGGCTTCCTCAAGGGTCGACAGGGGGCGAATGCGTCCTCCGAGCCCTCGAAGGGTCCCTTGAACTTCTTTCGCGGCCGTAAGCCCTTCTGGTGGGCGTGGTGGCTGGTTCGCGCGGGTGCCTTGGTGGCGGTCATCATCGGCTTCATCTACCTCATCGTGAACTTTTACAAGTATTACGAGACCACCTGCTCGTGGTGTTACCGACTGAGTTGTCTGGTAAGTCTGACCGTCTCGATGATGCGCGCTCCATGGACTGACCTTTTATTTCTCTCTTCTTCTAGCCGGTCAATGGCTGGTGCAAGGATCAACAGCGGGGATTCGTCACGGAAAAGGAACCCAAATAGGATAGGACGGACTACCCATGTTCTTATATTTCGCCCGCGCATGCAGTCTGTGTCTCTTTGATCATTTCTTTTCTCTGCCCTTCTTTTCTGGGTTATCTGTTTTTTTTCCCACCGATGGGTCCTGGAAGGTTTCTATTTAAGGGTGCCATATGCCCGGGGATTGTTTGCCGGCGTTTTGGGAAGGAAGCGACTCCAACGGCTAAATTTTTGCGGAGATTTTCATGTGCATCATAACAAGATTCCGGGACGACCATCTTAGATCCGAGATGAATGTATTTTGACTTGACGAGGTGATCGTGAAGTTATGGAGGTCAAGAGTATCGCATGTACATTGTAGCCGGATGATGTGGGTGCCTGAGAGCGGATGCTAAAAACGGAAACCCTGTAATTAAACCGTACGGTCCTGTATCACGCGTAATCAATCATCCCGACCGAAACAGCAATCCGACATCCCGACCATCTCTCCGCCTTCTTTCTTCTTCCTCCGCTTCGTTTCTCTACGTCTCCTTTGTCCTTGCCGTCAACTCGTTTGTATTTCCTCCTCTTTGTCGCTGTCTTCTAAGTTCATTCGATTTTTGCGTCTTGGTTCTCCGACGTCTTGTGGCAACCTCCGTCTCCTGGTCCCGTTCGTCGTCGTCGTATGTGCCTGATCGCCATGATATAAGCTCTGCTGCAACCCTTTGCGGACACACTTCTCGGCCTTCCAGCGGCAGACCCAACATCCGAGTACCTATACTATGGCGACCCTGGCTGCATCACCGCCGTCGTCACCCTCCTGGCCGAAGCGGCGGCCCCGGGCATGGGCGCTGCGATGTGAGCGCTACTGCTGTGCGGCGGCGTCCATGTTCCCGCTGGCATTTGTCTACGGCCTGACAAGCTGGGCGGCTTATGTGGAAATCAGCATCGGGCTGCGGCATACGCAAAGCCCGTGGATTGGTAGGTAGATCATACGGACGAATATGAACACTGCGGAGGGGGGAGTTCTCCAACCTTGCTGACCAGTGTCTCCTCCCGGCTCTCTAGGCCTACCGACTTCCTTCCTCGGACTGGTCCTCTATATCTGTCTCAACGCCTCATATACCACTGCTGTGTTTACGGACCCCGGGTCTCCGATGTCGAGCAGCTCCCGTGGGCAGCATCAGTATAGCGCCCTCCCCGTTACCGAACTCCCCGAATACACCTCGTTCACCGTCAGCTCGACCGGCACGTCTCGATACTGCAAGAAGTGTCAGTTGCCCAAACCGGATCGGGCGCACCACTGTTCCACCTGCAAACGGTGTGTGCTAAAGATGGACCACCACTGCCCCTGGCTGGCAACGTGTGTCGGTCTGTACAATTATAAGGCGTTCCTACTATTTCTTATCTATACGTCGCTCTTTTGCTGGTTGGATTTTTGGGTTGCCGCGGTGTGGATATGGACCGAGGTCTTCGATGAGACTCGCTACATGGAAACGATGTTGCCGGTGAACGTGGTCTTACTGGCGGTGCTCGGGGGGGTCGTCGGGCTGGTGCTGTCTGGCTTCACGCTGTGGCACGTCAGCCTTGCTGTTCGCAATCTGACGACGATTGAATGCCTGGAAAAGACGCGCTACGTCTCTCCGTTGCGGCATGCACTGGATCGTCAGCGGTACGAGAATATCCTGGGCAGTCAGTCCGGCGAAGGCACCAACCGCGACTCGGACACCTTTGGGCATCGACTCCAGGGCTACGGCAACCAGATCCTCGATGCGCACGCGAACGCGATCCCAGGGGTCACGCGGCCGGAGGAGGGCGAGGAGCGGGTGCCTCCGGTCGGGGGACAGCCACCGGCGGGCCCGGATGACCGCACCCCGGCCCAACAGGCCCTCACTCGATCGTATGCGGAGCTCGAACGGCAGCGGGAGCAGGATCGATATCAGGCCTATCTGAGCGAAGAAGAGAACGAGAAATTGCCCAACGCGTTCGACCACGGGTGGCGGAACAACCTGCTCCATCTCTTCGGCGACCGGCCTCTGCTGTGGCTGGTCCCCGTCTGTACGACCACAGGGGATGGCTGGCGCTGGGAGCCGGGCCCGAAGTTCGTCGAGGCGCGAGAGAATGTCCGCCACCGCCGGGAACAAGAGGCGGCGGATCAGCAGCAATACTATCGCGATCTGTACCAGCGGAACCTGAGCAACGGCCAACCCTGGACAGGCGGAGAGCCCGCGTCACCCCGATGGACGCCCAGTCAGCCCCTGGAGAGTTTCCGCGACCCGGAGCGGCCACCGACGGGCGTCTCAATGAAGACGCTAGCACCGATGTCACCACGTCCCCGGCCGGGAGATAGTGATTTTGAAGGCAGTCTCGACGAGAACGGCGATCTGCTTCATAATCGAGATGGTGCCGTGGGTCGGTCTGCATCCACGAGTCGAACCCGGACTGAGAATGAGTGGCGTGACTGGGATTAGAGGTGATTTCTTTTCTTTCTTTCTGTTTGCATTTTCATTACTATCTTTTATTTTTGTTTATTCTTTCTAGCGATTCCATGATCGGGTACATACATGTAATTCATATGGTGGATTCAGGGCGTACATGAAATCATTCCCAGGCACATGAATCATACCTTTGCGCTTTGATTATGTATATTTATGGATTGTATGTTTTACTCTAGGTTTGTAGATATGCAATATGTGTCTAATGAACTACTAAGTCCAGGGTCTGAGATATGTTAGTGTCCCTGAATGTCGGAACCAAATCGACGACCCTCGGTGCCTGATTCACCAGGCACCACCAATACCTCCGACAGACTCCGACGTCACGCCGCTCCGGCCAACTTGGCATCTTCCTCATCTTCCTTATCGCTCTCCCCACGCCACCACCACCACCTCTCGAACGCGACATCGCAAAGTCGCACCATATCTCCCATTCCATGCCGTGAACCCCCCTCATCGTGGATATTCCCCCCTTCCATCTTGTCACCGACAAACACAGCCAGCGACAGACAGCGAAAGAAACCCAACCAACAAAATGACCGCCCCCCTCCGCCGGCTCATGAAAGAAGCCGCCGAGCTCAACGCCTCCCCAACCCCCCACTTCCACGCAGCACCCATCTCAGACAGCAACCTCTTCGAATGGCACTTCACACTCGCGGGTCCGCCCGCGCCATCCGCCTACGCAGGCGGCATCTACCACGGACGCATCGTGCTCCCGCCAACCTATCCGCTGCGACCGCCGAGCTTCCGCTTCCTGACCCCATCGGGCCGCTTCGAAGTCAACCGCGAGATTTGCCTTAGTATCTCGGGACACCATGAGGAGCTCTGGCAGCCTGCTTGGGGGATCAGGACTTCGTTGTTGGCGATTAGGAGCTTTATGGATGGGGATGCGAAGGGGCAGGTGGGGGGGATGGATGCCAGTTGGGAGGCGAGGAGGGAGTATGCGGGGAGGAGTGCGGAGTGGGTTTGTGAGGTTTGTGGGAGGAAGAATGAGGAAATTCTCGGGGAGTGGAGGGAGGAGTGTCGGGGCATGGGGGTTGAGGTTGATGATGAGGGGGATGCACCCCCGCAGGGTGATACTCAGAATAGTGGTGACGGTGATGGCGATGGCGATGGCGATGTCGCAGATACAAGTGGTACGAGTACAAGTGGGGAGAAAGCGCAGCAGCCACGAAGTGGTGCAGAGGAGACGGAGAACGCAGCACCAGTCTCCTCTACCAGCTCAACCCAAGCGGCCACTACATCCACAACCCCTCTGAATCCCGCCTCTCCACCACCTTCTTCACCTTTACCTGCACAACACCAGCAGCAACACCCATTACCCCGGAATTTCCCCCCGGGACAACCACCCGCCGCCTCCCCGCTGCAGGCAGCGGCAGCGGCCCCACCACCAGTCCCCGCAACCGCAACACAGGCCCACCCGGGATCAGCTGCAGCTTCCCAGTCTAACTCCAACAGCACGCCGTGGCTGGACCGCGCCATCTTCGGACTGTTTATTGCGCTGCTGGTTATGATATTGCGGCGAATTGCACGGGACGAGTAATGGATTGGATTGTTTGGGTTTGGAGCTGGCTTACCTACCTGTATTGGGATTTTACAAGATGATGGTTAGGCGTTTCTTTTCCTTTTGGGACTAGGAGTGGCGTTTGTGGCTTGCGATATCTTTTATTATAGCTTTCTATGTGGATATCGAACTTAACTTGATTATAGGAGTGGCAATTAGATCTATTTCCCAGCCTCCTAGCTAGGTATACATCTGGATACCTCTATGACACTGAGACAATCCTCAAGTACTAATTGATCCCTTATCAGTGAATAAAACAGATACCTACCGAGTAAACAGCCTGCGGTATAACAATTATCTACAAGAGGTGATTGGGAAGCACCCAAGTTCCCAAATTGCCTTAGTCGAGTGACTGCAATCGGTCAGCTGATCTGCAGCCCTTTTCCCATCCCATTTGTATCTTGAACATTTCCTGCAACTTGCAACCTTTTGCAATCTCTTTAAGTTTCAACATCATCAATTTTACCATCCTGTTTACTGTTTTCATCGCTTATTCCGCAGCTATCTATTGTATCTCAACAAGAGAATTCGGGTTTTACCCTAGTTTGCTGACCGTTGAGCTACTCGGTTATCATCTCGTCTTGTTGGTGCCTGGCCCTGAGGTGATCCACAATCAATGTAGAAAATCCGCCTACCGTATTGGCCTTGCTAATGGCCGGGAGACTGAGCTCGACCTTCGTAACTCGTCGAGCCCAATTTTTCATCTGAATTGCCATAAGGGAGTCGATCACCAGGTTTGCCGCCTGCTCCTCGTTGAGCTCTCTGCCTGGCATCATGTTCTCTGCGCATGTTTTGCCCATCGTACGCCGGAACTGGACGATGGTCTCTGCCTTCCCCAATAGAGAAGGACACTGCTCAATCTCGGCTAGAAGCGATTTCAGCTCATCATCTCCGGCCTGCGCTTGCACAGCTACGGTCGATTGAAGGTTGCTGAACAGGGAGAATCGGACATCCTGCCCCCACATGGGCAGCACGGAGGTCTCGGACATGGGTTTCGTATATCCTAGGCCAACGACTAGATTGCCACTTTCCGAGCCACTAGGGGAGTCTTGGATAGCCACGGATAGCCCTTCCAGTACATCTTTCTCGCAGAGAAGTGGGATGCATGATGTCTGGGCATTCTGGAGATATCCTTGATGTTGGCTGAGGAGTCCAATATCTTCGACCGCACCAAGGTTCAGAATCGAGGCGGGTAGCCCATGCTGCCGACGATATTGCACAAATGCGTCAAGGAAACTCGTGGCGGCCGCGTAGTTTGCTTGGGTGAGTGATCCTACAGTTCCCACCGCCGAGCCAAACATGACGAAGAAGTCGAGGATTATTCCTTCCACGGCGTGATGGAGGTTCCATGTACCATTGACCTTTGGCGCCAGGGTTGCCATCCATTCCTCGTACGTCATCTGTTCAAAAGCGCCGTCCTGTTGAAAAGAGTTAGCTTCTTGATTTGACTCACTTGAAAGGCGTTGGGGCATTGGTCCTACCTTCAGAGTTAAAGCCATTTGCAGAACGCCGGCGAGTCGCTTGGTGCATTGGGTGAGAGCACGCCTTATGTCTGCCATGTCGGTGACCGTGCCCTTCACACAAATAACTTTACAATCCTGGGCTTCGAGCTCGCGAATAAACGCCTGATCACTGTCGGATTCACCGGCAGATCGGGATAGATAGACAAGCTCACGTGCGCCGTTCTCGACCATCCATGTTGAGACAGAGCGCCCAATCCCACCCATACCTCCAACGAGCAGATAAGAAGCATCGTTAGGAAATTCTAGTGCATCTGGGAACGTCTGACACGGGAGGGAGTTGTTTTCCGTTGGCATCTGGATGACAATCTTCCCCATGTGGGTCCCAGCCTGCATATGTCGAAAGGCATTTTCTGCCTCGCCAGCCTCGAACACTTTTACAGGACGAATTGGTCGGATCTTGTCTTCCTTAAAATACTGGAATAGTGTTGCTTTGATGCTGGACTTGTAATTAGCACCTCAGCACCTCAATTATGTGGCTAGGGGCGCTCTTTCATCTCACCTATCGTGCAATTCTGAGTTGTCTTGGGAGATTTGGAACAGGTCCACCCCGATGAAGGTGCGGTTAGCAAGGAAGGGACTCATGCTGAGCACGCCATGAGTCAGAAAATCGCGTTTCCCAAGTTCAATCATCTTTCCATAAGGCGCAACGCATTCCCATGAAGCATGTAGAAGTTTTCCGGCAAGCGAGTTTAAGACAACGTCTACGCCTCGGCCGTTGGTCACCTTCATAATACTTGGCAGGAAGGACTCGTCTCTCGAGCAGAATATCCTGTCTCGAGGAACACCGATATTGTCCACCAGATGACGTGCCTTTTCCTCACTCCCCACCGTGGCATAAACCTGATGTTCCAACGTCAGAAAGTTGCATTACATGCCGGTTTTGAGACCTCGGGATGGCTGGACTCACCTCAGCGCCGAGCAATTGACAGATGTGAATGGATGCCAGGCCAACCCCTCCCGCCGCGGAGTGGACTAGTACAGACTGATGAATGGGTCAGTCAATGTAAAATTTGCAGGACTTCACGTTGCGAACGGACCTGTCCCTGGCGCACATTACCAACATGGATCAGTGCATAGATAGCAGTTATATACACTGACCACATAGCTGCCATATCCTGGCTAGAGATGTGCTCAGAGTATTTGACGCAGTTCCGGGCTGGAACTACTGTTCGAGTGGCCAATAAGCCAGAACCTATCATGCAAACATTATCGCCAACGTTGAAGTCCGTCACACCTGGGCCAAGTCGACGAACGACACCTGTGGCCTCGATGCCAAGTTCGTCTGGGTTGCCGACTAGACCCATCGATACCATTAAGTCCTATCTGCGTCAGCGTATGTTTTCCGAATGAGCTCGCGATGGAGGGAAAGGGAGGGGGGGAGGGTGGTAATACTCTGAAGTTGAGACCGACATATGCGATGTCTACCTCAACTTGTCCACAATCTAGCTCGGACTTCATAGCTTTTGGTATCCACTGAAGCGTATCCAGACGTCCAAACTGTGAGAATCTCAGTTTTCGAGGTGTCTCTGGTGAAACCGCCGAGGGGCGCTGCGCTTGTAGCGCCATCCAATGGGCCCGGCAGGTATGTACCACACCGCCACTCAATGCAAATTCGTACTCATTATCTAGATGAGGCGTATCTCTGTCTTTCTGGATCTTCGCGTGGACTTCATACACGGTCTTGGCTGAGTCGGCGCCGACACAGTCTACTTCAAGGACTGAGATATCTTGATGTAGCTCGTGTCTCAGTGCTCGCGCAAGCCCATGAATCATTCCTGCACTAGGGTCTTGACAGACAGATTGCGTTGCCTGCGTGACCCATAAAAGCCGGCGTTCTTTGCTCTCACACAGAAACCGTCGCAAAATAAGGTATGCCTCGTGTGAAATGTCCCGGAAGTATGAATCCTTCACGTCGTCTAAAATGATGACACCGTTTTGTTCGTCTTGCGGTACCTGATCTAGCCTGGCGATCTGGACGGTATGTCCTTTGCTTCGAAACTCCCTCTCAACATCTGCTACCCACTTCTCGTTGGGACAATGAGACACAAGGGTGACCTTCTCCGGCAGGACTAGTTCAACGGCCGGTCTTGAAATCATAGTGGCGGAAGACTGGCATGGCGGGCGCACATCATACACAGTCGTATCGGTCCCCGTAAACCCAGCGGCACGCAGTTCTTGGTCCCACCTTTCTGGCGAAACGTAAGGCTTCTCTGCTCGTCGGTCGCTCTCACCTAACCACCAGCCGGGGAGTACACCCTGCGCATGATGTTAGTAAACCGAACAATCGAGAGGATCCCGCCGGGGCAACCACGCACCATGATATAATCCGTATACAGCATATCTGTATGCAGTGTCAGAAGTCGAACCTTTTTGTAGCCAGTGACATACCTGGATAGATCTCCTGGAGCAATAAACGGCCGTTCGCACTCAGGAGCGTATGGACGTGCTGCAAGGTGGTATTCAGACTTGGGGTGGCATGAAGAACCTGAAAGTAACGCTGTCAATCTTGGAACCTCCCGAAACACATCCCGATCAAGACGTACATTCGAAGCGATGATCAGGTCGAAACTGTGAGGCTCGAAGCCCTGTTCTACCGGATCACGAGTGATATCCAACGTGCTGTATTCCATGTGCTCCTGGTCAAACATTTCCCGAGCCTTTTCCAAAAAGCCGGACGAAATGTCAGTAAACATATAGCGCGAGTACATGCGCACTCCAGTATGGGATTTCAGGTGCGGCAGGGCTCTCTTTGTCGCGGAGCCGGAGCCAGCACCAATTTCCAAAATACGGAGGGCAGGATTCGAATGGCAAAGCAGGCTGAGAAAGTGGCTCCAGTCCGTCTCCGCCGCCGGTGATTCGTAGAGTGTCTTCCAACTATTGTCCTCCATCAGGTATTCCAAAGCCGACTGCTCCCCGGTCATGAACTCCACACAGTGGGAGAAAATTAGCAGCATGCAAGGGAAGACGTGACCGCCAAACGTAGCTAATGGATCTTTCAGCGCCTTTTCCACGAATTCGGTCATTTCGTTTGGGTGCATCTGTGCCCACAGCGGCAACGCAGGATATAATACTTCCTGGCTGTCCGTGGTCTTCTTCTCGCATGTGCCTAATTCGTCTTTCAATCGGCGAATGTGAGGAGCCTCCGAGGTAACCCTCTCGACCCAATTTGCCAAGTAGACAAAGCTTGGATGCTTTCCAGCCGTGATCAAGGCCGCCTGGGTAAGGATCCACTCCTTCCATTTCATCAGGTGCGGTTGCTCCGACTGAACATGACGAATACGCTCTGCCGTAACGACGATGCACATTAGGCACAGGAAGCCTCCACACTTAAGAGTGTCTTCGTAATCAGGGTTGGGATGGGGTTCAGGTAACAAGCCCGTGGAAGGGAGCACGTCGATGTCTGGCTTCCAGTCCATACGCGAGGCCAGACATGGCGCACCGTTCGCTGCTGGGGAGTCCAGAGCATACAGGAGACCACTCTGCATGGAAAAGACCACCCGACTATCTACCATGCCGATGCCATTGCCGCATTGGCCTTGGCGCAATCCCTCCCAAGTCTCCACTTCCACCGTCATCTTCGGGGCCCCCTTGGCGATATAAAGCCGTTCAATCATGGCCGGTATATACATCATCTGAAGCCTGTTGGGAATCCCTGACGATGCCGCGACCCCCATCAGTTGCAGACACTGGTCGATAGCGCAGGGATGGATTGCGTATCGGCTTTCATGGAGCTCAAGGGGGTCGGTTACCGTCCCTAGAGCGATTCTACCGGTCGGGCTAGCTGTGATATCTTGCAGTCCTTGGAAACGAGGTCCGTACTCCAGACCCCGTCGATGAAGGGCTTGATACCACCTCTTGGACTCGACAGGCCGAGGGAAGGGGCAGGTGACTTTGCAATGAAGGGGCTCTGGATGGTCTGGTGTTATCTGGCCCTGGCAATGTATGTTCCAGGAGCCCCCATCATAAGCCGCGATGCTAAAGCCGTACCAATCCGAACTGACCCCATCCGCCAGCTCGATAGAATTGAATCTTGTGATGACTTCAATCGCATCATAACTCAGGAGTAACGGGGCTTTAAAGTGGACGTTTCGCAGGGAATATCCCATTATATCCGGATGTAATTGGTGAATCCCTTCTCCAGCCATGGCGATATATCCTGCTCCAGGAAAGGTCACCTGGCCCTGTAGAACATGTTCTGACAGCCACGGAACGTTGTCTAGATGAAGCATGTTTCTCCAAGCCGGTTCCAGGGCTGTCGATTCTCCAGTTCTTGATCCTAGCAGCTCATGATGTCGGTGTGGCCGAAGTCTCCAATCCTGCCACGGTCGGCCTTCCTTCAGGTAGCGGGTGTCATGTTGCCACGGATATCGTGGAAGGTTTGTCAATGTTCTTCCGGGGCCAATAATCGCAGATAGGTCAACTGAAAGTCCCATCGTCACTAAATGACCTGCTGTTGAGAGCAAGAGGGACCGGGCATCATCGTCATTTCGCACCAGTGTGGGGATATATACAGGGGGGTGTTTTGTTGTGGTCACACTCTGGACTATTTGTCGGATAGGGGCTGAAAGGACCGAATGAGGACCTATCTCGATCAATATCTGCCGGTGCCCTGTTTTCTGGATCAGGTTCTGGACAGCCCCGGAGAAGAGCACCGGGGACTCTAGATTTCGCCGCCAATAGGTCGCATCTAATTGGCCAGGCTTGGTTATGGTTTCGCCAGTGACGCTAGAAAACATGGGCAGCATGGACGTTTTATGTTCTATATGTCGAGCGACGGCGTCCTGGTAAGCCTGAGCCACGCGGCCCATAAACTCTAGAAGTGAGCTATTATCAGCATCCGATGTCATCCAGTCCATTCCATATATAGTCCCTTGTCTCCTGCAACTACCCCTCCCCACAATGGCGCTTCGAGGTAGCCCATCTCATACCAGGATCAGTTTAGGGGGTGGGGTTCCTTCTCACCTGAATGGTAAGGTACTCTGACAGCCATTTTCCTACAAAAAGTCTCTGGATTAGAAGACTTGATATGTGCCAAAACTTGGTCAATCTGGGCGCTGTCTCCTGAAATGGTCACGTTTTGAGGGCTGTTTTCACAGGCCACCATGACATGGTCAACCAGGAAAGGCGCTACCTCTGGCCGGCTCAAACCAACTGATGCCATGGTTCCCAGACCTTCCAGCGTTTTTGCCAGCTTTCCGCGATAATATGCAAGGATTATAGCAGATTGGAGGGTAATAGCACCAGCGGCGTAAGCAGCGGCCATCTCACCACTGGAATGGCCAACAACCGAGTGGAACTTTATGCCCCACTCCGCGAGGACACTCACGACACCCACCTGGAGTGCGGTGCAGAGTGCCTGGGATAGTTCAACTTCCTGCACACGAGATAAAATCGGGTCTTTGGCCAGTTCCTCTGTCCTGGAGGTAAGAGAAAGCTCTGTCGCTGGTAGAAATCACAAGAAAGACGTACCTTTCAACTTCCATTCAGGGGGGTCGTCTAGGCCTTGCAACGCCTCATCCATCTGATCAACGACTGCAGTAAAGCAACCATGTGTATGCATCAATGCCCTTCCCATTCCCGCCCACTGGGCCCCTTGACCCGTGAATACAAACGCGACATTGGAGGTTGAGGAGCTGTAGGTGAGCTTGTGAAAATTGGACGGATCCACGGGCACGTCTGGATAAGCCACGGCAAATGCACGATGAGGAAGATGCTCGCGTCGCACGGCCAACGTGTACGCAAGATCATGTAGAGTGGATGGTTGATGGTTGAGATACCGAGTCAGATCACCGACACGCCGATTCAGACTTTCCGCACTTTGTGCCGAGATGAACAACAGCTCCGAGTCCGTTGAGGTCAAGGGTGGCGGATCCATCGAGAGGAAAGAGGCCGCAGAGTCTAGGATGACGTGTGCGTTCGATCCCCCAATACCGAAGCAGTTGACACTCGCCCGCTCATGACGGTCCTCGGGCCACGGGATGGCCTCTAAGGGAACCTGGAGCTTGGATTCCGCGAGCCCGAGACGGGGGCTCGGGGTGTTGAAATGGACGTTTGGTGGGATTATACGATGTTCCAGTGCCAGGACGGCCTTGATCACGCTGGTGAGACCGGAGGCTCCCTCAGAATGGCCGACGTTGGGTTTGACCTGTTCAGATTTGTGTTAGTTCATGATGATTTGTGGCGAAGCTTGGGGGGGTGGGATATTCTGACACTTCCAATCGTCACCCCTGCACCCTGGAACAGCTTCCCAACAACAGAGGTTTCCACAGCGTCCCCGACCACGGTGCCAGTGCCATGGCATTCGAAAAATCCAGTATCTCGGAGGTTCTCTATCTGCGCCTGTCGGTAAGCATTCCGAATGAGAGTCTCCTGGGAAGTTGGGCTGGGATGGCTAATTCTTTGGGTCTTGCCATCAAAGTTAGTACACGTCGAGCGAATCACGGCCCGGATTGGATCATGATCACGTAGGGCATCACTAAGCCGCTTGACATAAACAGCATTGATTGCTTCTCCTCGACCATACCCAGTCGCTTGAGCATCGAAAGTCCGACAAGTTCCGCTCAGGGAGAGGACCCTGTTAGCAACCATGGTTGTAGTCATGGTCGGGGACAAGATGATATTAGTTCCCGCTGCTATAGCCGCTGAGCACTGACCTAACCGGAGGGCCTGACAGGCTTGATGCAATCCCACCAGTGATGCCGAACAGGCCGACTGGATCGTCATACTGCGTTTACTGTCAGACCCTACTCTTCCATTCATCATGGTGATGTCGGGCGGGAGGAGGGGGCTGTGAGGCAGACCTAGGACCTTTCAAGTCAAATTCATAAGAAACCCTGTTGGAAAGTGCGAATTCTCCGGTTCCAACCGCGTGATAGCGGTCGGTCTGTTGGCCGCTCTTGAAGGACATCTCCAACCAGTCCTCTCCAAAGAGGCCAACAAAACAGCCGATATCCTGCCCCTGCCACTTCCTCGCTCCCGCGTTCTCAAGACATTCCCAAACCACTTCGAGCAATAGCCGCTGTTGCGGATCCATTCGCATGGCTTCTTGTGGGGTGATGGAGAAAAAGGGGGCATCAAAATAGGACGGATCCTCCTGCAGAAAGTACCCGCTGGTAGGAGCCTTCCCGGGCTCAAAGAAAGCCTCCGCATTATAGCGGCTCGAAGGAACGGGACAGTGGCCATCTCGCTTGTTCACCAAGAGTTCCCAGAATTCTTCTGAAGAGGAGACTCCACCTGGCAGTCGCAGGGCCATTCCGACGATGGCGATAGGCTCATCTGCGGGAATGACCTCAGTGTCTTGACACAGGGTGGCGTGTTTCCCCAGATCAGACATTATGGGTTGATAAAGTGTGACCCTGAATGCTTGTATCGATGTCGCAGCTAGGCAAGTTGATTCCTGTGAATAAGACAGGGATTCGTTCTAGACAAGTAGCAAAGGCGGCCGCGGCACCATCAGTCGTATTGATATAACAGATTGGCAGTGAGAATCCTTTTTGCCGAAATTTCGCTGCGGAGGATCCGAGGACTCTGCCTATCTATATAGTGAACCCCTCGCGTATGACTTGATCTTCCTGTCAAGTGAAATGAGATGACGTGTTCGATGCATCGTGGGAGAGCCTGTTCTGCATGATGTCTGATCCAGTTGACCGCTCTTTCGATTCTAGGTACTCATCACATATTCCCTAGATTCGAGAGAAAGAAATAAATAATAAAGAACATAAGAAGAGGCAGGAAAGGTAAAGGCCGCCAATTCTCCTCTGACCTCTGACCTCTATAGCCCTATTCCACTATTATGAGCGATAACGTCGACTGGTATCAAAACCAGGTCATTTTTCTGACTGGGGGTACTGGTAACTTAGGAGCGTGTTTGCTCTACAAGCTCTCACTTCAGCTGCCCACGAAAAAGATCTTCGTCCTCTGTCGCGGGTCGGTGCGCCGTGCAGTTGAGAAACTGGAGACCGCAATGCCCGAGCATCTCGACCTCATCCTAGATACACGCAAAGTTCAGTTTATAGTTGGAGACACAGCCCGACCTGGGTTGGCGTTGAAATCACCAGACCTTCAACGCCTCCGTGACGAGGTCACTGTGGTCCTCAACTCAGCCGGCGACATTTCACTCCAACGATCACTCTCAGCGTCGATACAGGTCAATTGTGTCGCTCACTTGGCGTTGATGGATCTCTGTAGAAGCTTCAGCCACCTTCAAACATTCCTGCACGTTTCGACTACGTCCGTGAACTACTTCCTGCCAGCGGGAGTCATCGAAGAGCGTCTGTACTCGGTACGTGACAATGAGCCGGAACCAAATGTGCAGCTCTCGACTATCCAGGAGACAGGGAGATCAGACTTGGAAGACGCTTTCCCAACTCCGTATGCCTTGGCCAAACATATTGCGGAGAAGGTAATCCTCAGTCAGGCCGACTGGCCTTTTCTCGTTCTCATCGTGCGGCCATCGCTGTTCAGTCCTGCCTTGCGCGACCCGTATCCACTATACGGATCAAACGAGTCAATCCTGAAGACCCTAGGCATGAGCATGGGCTCCCACTGGTCTCCCTCCCGACTGCTCCAGGGATTCGGAGAAGAGACCATCTTGGATGAGATCCCCGTTGACCTGGTGGCCAACACCTGCTTGGCTCATCTTGCGGCCGGGTCGGGGGGGATCGTGCACGCCGCTGCGAACCTCTATATGCCACGGAAGCTTGGTGATATCGCTGTTCAGTGCCACCGATACGTACCCGTCGATCTGATTGAAAGGATTTCTAAAGGTGGCGACCCTACAGGTGCCGAGGATCTGGGGCCTCTTTCTTTCCGCATATTGCTGCGACATGCTCGAACTTGGAGAATCGAATGCCACCGGTCTCAGCATCTGCAAAGAAGTAAGAATCCTGCACTAGGGCTCAGCCTCGAGGGACACGACTTCGAGGCTTTCATGCAGCAGCGCTGCGAACTTATGGCGAAAATCATTGCTCGCCAGCTAAGTCAGGCCGGATGATCGATCCTCGTTGCACCAAAGGAACGGTCGGTGGACTTTCCCCCTTGGTAGATATGCGTGAGTTGCGAAAAAACTTCGGTGATGGCTTTCTATGTGGATACTACTAGACTTAACTTGATTATATGAGTTGAGTCTAGACTTATTTCAGACGTATTACTTGAATACTAGCCACCTAAGGCAGCTATATCTATGTACTTATGTAGATAGTTACCTACATAAGCACTCAGTCCATGACATTCTCGAATACTACGTATTCCGACCCAACCAATCCATTCCACAACAGTGAACCTTGAACACAAACCTCAAAAACCTAATACCAAATAACAAACAAAAAACACCCTCCATACACCCCAAAAATACCCGATTCAAACCCCCAACCAATCACAAGCGGCGCTTGCCCCCCGGAATCGCAACAAATCGCCAAATTGCCACGAACCGGTTACAGAGCTTTACAGGACGTGTTGGCCAACGCGGGACGCGATGGGAGATTGATGCCTTTTGGGTCCGTGGTTGGGAATTGAGGTTATTAGTTGGGTGATTTGGGTGGGATTGTATTATCACTGTGAATGGGTAGGTAGGGGGGTACTTTGTCATGAGAGCATGCATAAGTGGGAATGTCACTCTTGTGCGGCCAGTAGAGACATCGGAGCAAAGTCCAGCTAAGTTATTCCGTAAACATCACATTCAATCACTAATAAATACATATCATACAAATCAAGGCGCAGCCAACACCATCCACCACCACTCTCTCACAACCCACCCGGTCTCACCCCTCTCGTTACAGCCTTGACGCACAACAACGCCCACCTCTTCCATCCACCCAAGCAGCAGCTCCACCTCCCAGGCCCCCATAGTAGGCTTCACCATAGTAGTGACACTGCCTGCGCTGACACCCGGCCGTGTGGCGATACACCCCACGACAGCAGCCAGCGCCAGGTCCCACAGCACCTTGACGAAGCCGCCGTGGATGTCGAACCACATGGGGATTTTCTCGGGTACCGAGATCTCCGGGGAGATGGTGAGCAGCGGGGGACAGGGGTGCGCGGTCGAAACCAGTTTGTCTTGCAGGGGGTTCCCGTAGATGTATCGGTCTGTTGGGTGGAGTCCGACAGAGAAGTGGAGTTTGTCTTTGTCGATGAGTCGCGTCAGGTAGCCACCGTCCGTGAGGCCGAATTTCTCCAGCGGCGGATCACGCGGCTTGAGGAGGAGTCGGCCCTCCGCGGCGAGGTTGATCGCTGCGAGAATGTCGCCGTCTTCGGCGTGGTAGTTGACGTCGAAGGAGCCCTTGGTTTGCAGGGCTGGGTCCAGGATGGTGGTCTTGAAGCGGGCGGCGCGACGGAGCTCTGTACATTCAATGGCGCGCTTGCGACCGAGGGTTTGGAGGAAGAGGTCTGTGATGGTGTAGTTTCTGCCGGGGCTGATGCGCCCGCGGTTGCTGCTTGAGATGACTCGGTCGGTCATTAGGGACTGTAGGGCGTTGTTGATTAGGTCTTCTCCGAGGTGGGAGAGGGTCACGCGCGCTTCGGCGGGTTTGTATTTCTCTTCGAAGGTGACGACGTTGGCGCGCACCCAGCTCTTGGCTGCTTCCATTTGGGCGAGCTCCTTCTTCCGTGGTCCGGCTTGCTTGGGCTTTTCTGCTAGGGGAGCAGCGTAGGGTACCCCGGCGAGGAGCGCGCGTCGCCGGTTGACTGTTACCGAGTTGTTGGCTTGGTGCACCTCTTCCAGGGACGTGAGTGGCTCCTCGCGGATTTCGAAGACACTGTCGAATTGTTCCCGAGTAGCAGGGAGATCGGGGTGAGTTTCTGATCTGGGGACGTCGACCTGTGTGTTCGCCCAGTTCGCCAACCCCACCCAGTCGTACCCGTCTAGGTCGTCGTAGTTGATCGGTGGGACTTGATCTTGCGCATATGCTTCGATGAACCGCTCTTGGAAGTCGCTTTGCATCTTGGCGAGTTGCAGTCGGTTTTTGTTGAGAATCGCCTTGCCCCTGTCCTGGATGAAGGTCTCGTCGTAGTCTGGGAAGGCCTTTGAAACGAGATTCCAGTCTACCATCCGCCCATCGTAACCCCCTGCCAGGGTGCGAACAATAACAATGGCGGTCATGATGCGCTGGAACAGGTTGGGTGAGACTAGACGAGCAAGGCGGTTTCGACGGATACGTGGAACGTCATCCTGTGCTGTCGCAGCAGCTTCCGCCTTGCCTGCTTCTGAGTGCAAGCCCATTTCTGGATCTAGCATGTTCAGTCGGTCCATCGGGGACTCAAGGTACTCCGATGCGGATTCGCGTAGTGAGCGGCGCTTGCCCCCCCTCTGTCGTCTAGTCACAGGCCGTCCAATTATAGCGGCCAGCCCCTCGGGCTTGGGCTCGTCGATATCGAAACGGATGTTCCCGTCAACCGGAGCGCTGTCGAACGAGTCGTAGATGGCTTGGTTGATGTACATCAGATCGTCACTCTTTACCCCCAGGAAATCTTCGTTTTCAAGCTCCCAACGGAGAATGGTCTCGTTATCCCGGAAGAACCCAACAGACCGCGGATCTCTGAGATCCGACTTTTTCAAGGTGTCTCGGCGAGTCTTATTCAACAGGTCTTCAAGCGATCGCGGCAAGTCACCGCCCACCCTGGGAGACTGCAGGGCGGCGAGGCCAGCATCTGTTGAGAAGGTCCCTGAGCTAGCATTGAAAGTCTGTTTCGGGCTCATGAGCATCGCGTAAGGAGCGATGGATGATATGGGAATCCAGAGACGCTTCATGTTGGACCCATCCTGAAGAGGGTTGGCACGTCTCTTTGTCGAGCGGCCTACCTGGTCCGGGCTGAAGATTGAGGTTAAACCAGACACAGAGCCATCTTGTCCGGAGCGGCGTTGAATACTCGCAAGGCGCACCACTTTCGGGTTTGCTGGGTCTTGTTTGCCACGTGAGGAGTTCAGCCTCTGGAGCAGCCTCCTCTGAATGCTCCGGCCCTTTCTCCTTTCCTGCGCCAGTATAGAGGCGGGCTTTTCTTGCAGATGCACCCTGAGCCCAGGGTCAACCGGAATCGGATAAGTCGTCTTCGGGTCCTTGAAAACTACTTTTCGGCCACCGTTTTTACTAAGATCTGGGTCGACTTCGACGCTGGGAGGTAAGGGGATGCGTGATTCCGAGGCCAAGATCGTCGCTTGCATGTCTTTAATGCGGGGATCGTCTGGCTGCAGCTCCGACTTACAGATCATGCTTCTTGTCACCATCACGCCTTTGCTGTCTTTGCCACTGAATGTGAACTGCCGGAGCTTTCCAGCGTCAACGAGGTGTTTGACCGCCGTCCTGACGGTCCGCATGTCGGGTGTCTTTTTGTATTTCGTTTTCTTCCAGGCCGTCGCGAACGGGTACCAGAGGTCAGCACCAAGGGGAAAGGCTCCTCCAACCTTATCCACGATGTCCATCACGATTTTTCTGCGTAGATAGCCCATGGATCCTCCCTTTTCTGCCATCTTCATCCTCGGACTCGACGTTTCTGGGGCCTGTAAGGCCTGGGAGTTCTTGCCCGTGCCATTGGCCCCGTCTGATGTGCCTGCATTTGGAGTAGCTGGTGTGATGTCCTGGTTAGATAGAGAGCCCATGCTATCTCCTGCGGAAGGGTCTCCCATTGCACTCTCCGGTAGGCTGCTCGCCGGACGGGCTTTTTTCAGTGGCGTCTTAGTAATTCGAGTAGGAGTCGTGGAGTTTTGGTCCCTATCTGTACTTGTTGGTTGTTCGGGAGTGGGAGACTCTGTCCGTTTGCGCTTAGAATGCCCCCTGGCAGTTATGGGTGTCCCATCTGCGGCGGAGCCACTGGGACTGTAAGCCACCGCCATAGAAACATCGGCGGAGTCGACTTCACGTTCATCGAGGCGTCGGTGTTTTACAGCCTCCTCCCTCAACGGAGAAGATTCCATAAGAGATGCATGCTGTCGCAAGCTCCTTTTGACCCCTCTTGAAGGTGTAGTAAACTGAGATGCGGTGGCAGGGGTACTCATTTCACGGTGATCCTGTTGGGCCGGAGTTGCCGGTTCGCTTTGCCCGGGCTCGGCTTCTTCGACGAACCATGGCAGGGACAACAGCTTAGGCGATTTGAAAGCGGCGAGGCGGCTGATCCTTGGTCGGCCTTGTCTCTTGCCGGCTGGTCGTCGGCGCCCACGAGGCGTAATATAAACCCCCGGATTGGAACGTTCCATCAGGAGAATACTGTACTCTGTCCATGTTTCGTCAAGACCGAGACATTTCAATTTCTCCAATTCTGACATTCCATGGAAACGTTCGGAGTCTTCCCTGGTTTTCAATTTCCTGGAGTACCTGGGCTCCACGATGCGTGCGGACTCGGGAGTATCGAGCAATTCTCTATCAGGGACGTCTGGATCCTCTATTTTCAACCTGATCGGTGTGCCCCTGGGGCGCCGAGGAGTGCTGTCGGGGTCTCTGGATCCCCCTGCAGGAAGTTTCCTTTCGCCTGGGTAGATGGCTAAAAGGCGGTCAACATCAATTCCCACTCGACACCGCCCGAACAATGATTCCTTACCGTAACTGCCATCGTCCAACTGCATTGCTTTTAGATCGCTGCTGGAACAAACGTAGTCCTGAGGCCCGACTGTCGCGATGCATTCGAAAAGAGACGCACGGCCCTTCTTCACCAGATCTTTCGTGGGCACCGTCCGAGCTAGACCATAGTCATCAAGTTCAGGCTGCGCATTCGCGGGAGGAGGACGAAGGCTACTCGGTTTATTACCCTTGGGTGTGTATTCCACGGCTTCCCACGCTGCCTCTCCGGCGTCCACGACCTTTCGGAAGTTGCCCGCCGAGTACTGGATGTAGTGAGTGATGGTCTTTTGCAAGGCTATGTCGCGCACAATGGCCCGATGGCGCAGATGCAAGGGCTGCGACAGTTGCCAGCATTCCACCAGTCGAGTCAACATGTTTTCTAGTGGCCTGCGATAAAATTGTCCGAAGCAGGTTTGTAGAGCTTCCTATGAAAGATCAGTCCCTGGTTTGGTTTCGGCTTCTCGAAACTGACAAGCCGGTCGCCACTTACCCGGTTGGTGCACCCTGCGGTGCCTGTCGCATCGACGACATCGAAAACCTGATTGTGGACGACTCGGTCCGGGGTCCAGATGGGAATGGGTCGACCGAACACCTCCACGTCCTCGTCTCGCTTGGCCATATTCAAGCCGTCGGGGGTTTGCAACGACGGCTCGCCTGCCCCTTGCGTGGGGTCCATGTCCTCGTCCAGCTCGGCATTCGCTTCCTCGAGGTTGCTGATGAGACTCTGGCCATACTCATGGAACAGTTCGTAGTCCCGCTTAGTCGGCTCTCGCACAAGCCTGACGCAAGAATGAAAGTGTTTCCCGGTGCCGGTATACTGGGACAAGGCCCTGACTCTCATGAGCAGACCGATCCTCTCAAACTTGCGGAGCGATCGAGACAAGATTTTCCACCTCCACCGATCCGCAAATCCAAGTCGCGTTTTCAAATCATGGCGCGAGATAATCTCGTGCTCCCGAAGGATGCTGAAAAGATTGTCGAGGTACTTCTCGAAATCGATCATCTGATCATCATCTGGCCTGGCGTCCGGTCCCGCATCGGTTGTCATCCCCGTTGTGGAATGCTCCGGCACCAGGAACTTGCGCAAAGTACACAGGCTCGTACGCGCAGATTTGATTTGGATGGCCCGTTTCTCGATGTATCCCTTTTTCTGTAACATGTCGGTTCTCTTGGGAACGGAGCGCTTGTCCTGGCCACTGAGCCGGACGAGTTCGGTCTGAACGATGCCTTGGGACTTGCGCGAGGCGATGATCGATAGCAGGGTAAATTCCATCGGAAGCACCTTGGTCTCATCCGGTTCGTGGCCAGTGATTGCGAGCCAGGTTCTTTCTTCGGACACAAACACCCGGATGTCCGACGCGCTCTCTTGGCCGTCGCGCGCATCGGGTTGGGCGCCGCCGTGCCGTTCCGCATCATCTAAACTCAAGTGATTCCATTCTCGGTTTTGGCCCACCGACACCTCGGGGTTTTTGGTTAGCCATAGCCAAACCTTGGCTTGAAAGCGACGATCGACCGCCTGCGTGCGACTTGAGCCCTGCTGGGGAGCTTTCGCATAGAACGTATCGACCAAAGCCAAGACATCCGACGGGGAGGCGCCTAGACACCGTTAGCGGTCGATCCACCATGCCATGGAAAATCAGTGGTGCGTAAGTGAGAGGTCAATTTGGTTGCATGTCATGAAGACGATAGTACCCTCCACACCTGGTGGGGATCCCATTGGCCAAGACGCCAGACGGGTAAGATGCAGGCTGCAGGATGAAAATACGCCCCATACTAAACTATGCGGTACTAGTCTCGTAGACTAACCACGAGGAGACCAACCGAATCCAATCCCATAACAAAAAAATAGAGAGGCAAAAGTCACCAACCTTGAGCACCGCAAAGGGCTATCTCCGCTAACAAAAAATCAATCAGGTCGCATAGACTAGGAGCCATCTTTTTCCATGACTAGGGTCAGGGCTAGGCGAAAGAAACCAAGAGGAAAAAATTTTCCCGGACTTATATTAGGCCGTGCTCATGACTTTGATGAAAATAGAGTATATTTTAGAGGTCGAGAAAAAAAAGATCCGATTGATGGTGGAGCGAGAGGCGTGATTCGAACCGTTGTCGTCGAGGGAGAAAAATGAGGAATGCGTAGAGAACCTCAGGCGGGGGTGGCACCGCACGTGATGTGACCTGTATGCCTGTGGAATCAGGCATACAGGCACATATCTCTCTCTCTCTCTCTCTCTCTCTCTCTTTTTTTGGTTAGTCATCACCGATCTTCCTGGCGTTTCTATCCTTGAGTCTGAACAATAACCCCGAGTCGTAACAATACAGATGTCTTGACAGCTCCACCTGACATCGATCGGCTACAGTGAATCATATCCAATAATCCAATACTCCGAGTACTTCGGACGTCTCCATGGGTCCACCGTGTTGAATGGACTGGACCGGACTCGTTCCATGGAAACACTCACGATCTGACCAGCTATCCCAATACGACCAACTCTTGACCCGACATGACACTCCTCGGTCAATTGATTTGTGGAGAGATGTACCATTGATCCCTAATCTACTGGAGGGACAGAAAGCATAAGACTGTTTCAATTTGATAACGCTGAAGAAAAGTTGGACAAAGAATCCAGCGTGAGCAGGCTGGGAGCAGCATGACATCATCAGGCGATTACATCATGCCACGCTTGGCCCCCGATTTCAGGCCCGGCTTGAGACAGCCTTAGGCCAGACCGAGACCCGTTGTTTCCGGCCTGATTATTATTGGCAACACTTGCTGCATTGCCACCGAGACCAAGAGAAAAATATCGTCGATGTGTTCAATCTTCCAATTTTCTTCTTTTTCCTTTTCTTTCCTTCTTTAATATTCTTGACTATCAGTCGAGTGCAGATTTGATTTCTTCCACACCACATCATGAATTGACGTCTCGCTAATCATACCTCTATCGTCTACTCACCCTTGACTGTTTCTCAACCCGGTAGTTTATACATCGCCCTCCATACTTATGGACGAGGAAGAAGGACAGACGACGGCGGCGGTAAATGCGTCGGAGCCGCCTCCCCTGCCCTACACCTTGCGCACTCGCAAGAAGTCCATTGCTATCTTCTGGATCTTGTTCATCATCGATGTCGTGGCGCAACCGTTGGCCCTGTATTGGGCCCTCTGGTATGCCACTGATTTGTCCCACAATATAGGTATGTCGCCAATCATCGCTGGTCCAATTCAACTGGACGCCCAGCTAATCGTCGCCTCTCCACAGTCTTTTCGATCGTGACCGCGTCGTTGGGGGGCATCTCGGTGTTTGAATACTTCTACCGGCTCTACAACCTCTTCCGCAAAGACTCCCGAGCCCGGCCCTTGAACGCAAGGAAGTCATGGGTAAGCGATCGACACCGTCTGGGTTTCACATAACGGTGGTACTGATGTAATAATGTGGTAGCTCGACTTCTTTCAGATCAATTTCACCATCGTCTGGTTGATTCTCGCCGTCGAGCTCGTCGTGTAAGTAGCAATAAACGTCGTGGATAGACGATGCGCTAACGACACTAGAGGATCGGTAGCGGAAGAACCACACGGTAAGATCACTTAGAAGGCTTGTTTCGTTGGTCAATCGCGATACATTGGCTAACGGTATGGCGACAGTTCGACTCGTGGCCATGGTCCTCCCGACCGTCATGTTTTATTTCGGCGCGGTCTACCTCTCCCTCGATATTCTCCGCCTCTTCGGCTTCAAGGCCCCCTTTCGGATCTCCTCGACTCCCAAAGGATCGACCATGCCTACCGCGCTGTATGTCATGATTGAGGATGTGGTCGCGGTCGATGGCGCGGGGGGTCAGATCTACCGCTACGCCCTTCGAACCCGATACTTGTCCAGCCCTTACTTTCGCCGGATGCTCCGAGAGATGAACTTTTTCTGGACCGGAGGGGCGCTCATCTGCGCGGGAGGCATCACCGCAATCGTCTTTACCACCTCCCGGCCGGTCGCATTCACGGTATGTCATCCCCTCGTCGACCACCCCAATTCGGGTTGATATGTCACGCCGTGCCAAGAAAATTGAGCGAAACTAACGGGGAAAATGGCGCAGCTTGGCTGGTCCCTCCCAATTGTCTGGGCGATTGTCTGGACGCTGATCACGATCCCGTGGGTCCAGAGCGATCTACGGCGCGAAAAGCAAGCGTGGCAGGAGAATCGTGCCCATGGTGGCATCCCGTTCACCGACGATGTCAACGCGACCAGCGCTCGCACGCGTCTCGAGTCCGTCCAGGAACATTTTCCTCACATCCTGCCGTGGCTGCGCGAGAAGCCATCCACCTTGTCCGACGGACAGTCCGCTACCTAATCCGCCTTCACATCCTAAACGCCCATGAACACCCCCGATGAGCGTCCTCATCCCTGATTCAAACCTGACGATACCTTGATGACAGAAGAAAACAAAAAAGCATGCAAGACGCACGACATACACGATCGATATACTATTGTTTTTTATTTTTTTTTTTCACTTGATGCATGAGCTCGCAGGTGTTGCGGTGCTTTCGAGGGTAGACTGCTAAGATAAACGCTGTACTTTACTATGTTCCATATTGATACCCAATACAAGTTGCATTCCTATCTCAAGCGTCTAGCAGAATTGGCATTAACAATTCTAGTCATCATGCCGATACAAGGACTTTGCTCACAGCGGACATGGTATGACTAGAAGGTCGTATGGTGTATTACAAGTAGATGAAAATCAAGATTATCGGGAAGTATTAAATATTGGCATCCAGAAAGTCAACTCTAATTTTAGAGTTTCGGAGACCACAAGGATGTATACCTGAGGCACCTTATCCATGGATTATCATGGTGACTAATCATGTGACTCTCTATCAACCAATCTTATTTGCTTCAAGCACGCCTCTTCCTAGATCTACCATGACTTAAAGAGGTAATAAGCTTATCAGTAGATATTTGTTTATTAATGTGTTATAAAGTAAGTTTTATCAATATTTTGCGGACCGTATTCTGCTAATCTTCTTTGACATCTCCGCCAACATCTGCATATATCTGCATGTCATTTCCGACGATCCACTTTCCCCAATTCGGACAACCATAGCACAGCTGTGTAGCCTCAGCCATCCATCTCTCACACCTCTTCTCCCTCCTCCTCCACCACCACCAAATGGCAATCACTTCTCCCGGAGACGATCACGAAGCCTTTACACAATGGGCCATCTCCAAAGGCGTGCAAATCAAAGGCATTGCCCCGGCCCATTTCCCCGGTCGACGTCTTGGCATGATCGCCACCAGGACGATCAAGGTACGCGACACGATAGTAGACTCGTTCCAGAAGCGACTAGACCCATTGATAGAAACAATTCTAATCAACGATTGCAGGAGAATGAAGTGATGCTCAGCATCCCCCGGGCAGTAATGCTAACCAGGGACTCCATTCCCCCATCATTCGTGGAGCAATTCCCCGAAGACACACCCAACCACGGAATTCTGGCCGCATTTCTCACCCACGCAGACACAGACGTTCTCCAGGACATCGAACCCTGGCGCAAAGTATGGCCCTCCTTCCGCGACTTCCAAGACACCATCCCCCTCCTATGGCCGGACCGTCTGCGCGCATCCAGCTCCACATCATGGTCCGGTCCCTCATTACTCCCGCCGTCCATCTCCGGCCGGTGGAACTCGTTCCGCAAGACGCCTGCAGGCGCGGATTACGAGTCCACGTACCAGAACTTACTACCGCAGCAGGAAAAGCGCGTCCGGAAAGCCTGGGAGTACGTTGTCTCTGCGTTTCCTGAGACGAATCCTGGTACTTTCGCGTATTACTATTTCATCGTCAACTCGAGGAGCTTCTATTATGTTTCTTCGCCTGGTGATGAGTCCGAGGATTGGAATGATGATGTTGGGATGGTCCCTTTTGCGGATTACTTCAATCACGTGGATGATGCGGTATGTGCTTGCTTTGAAGTTGCCTATCGGTCTCCGTAAAGACCAGGCTGATGATTGTTGAAGCCGTGCGATGTTCATTTCGATGGGAAAAAATATACGTTCACAGCGAAGAGGCAGCATGGTATGAGTCGAACTTTTCAACCTTTACTGGGCTATATAATCTAATCACGTGCGCAGAAAGGGGTGAAGAAGTGTATATGAGCTACGGACCACACTCGAACGACTTCCTGCTAGTCGAATGTGAGTCTCAGACCTCGACATCATTACAACCATCAGCACTAAAAAGAAAGAAACAGACGGCTTCTGCCTAGACGACAACGAATGCGACTCCATCTTCCTCGACGACATAATCTTCCGCGAACTCACACTGTCACAAAAGAAAGAACTAGCCTCTCGCGACCTCTTCGGGTACCCCCTCCCTCCCCAACGTTTCTCTCCTCTCTCCCATACTAACAATTTTCCTTGCAAAAAACAAAGCAACTACGAAATAACATCTGCAGGCCCCACCCTATCAGTCGAAGCAGTCGCCTGTCTAAAATACATGCGCAAAGGTCCCTGGAGGAAATATCTCCGCGACAAAACAGGCTCCGACCCGCCCACCACTGCTCGCATCATCAAGAGCTGGATCGAGGCGTACCTTAAAGAATGCACCACCACGATCGACATCATTGAGTCCTTGCTTGATCTGACCAAGTCACCTTCCCCGGGGTCTATACCCGAGTTCGGCTCCGAACAGTGGAAGCAGGAGAGGCTCGCGATGCTGCTTTCGAGGTGGAGGCAAATTGAGCGGTTGTGTGAGAACGCCCACGCGGCGGTTCTAGGAACAGCTCATGATTAAGTCCCAACGCAAGTATTACCTTTTCAAGGGAGGGCTAAGACCGTCAGTGGTTCTCGTGCTTTGGGTCCTTCTCCCTTCGCCATCCTCTTCAGTCTCTAAGAAACCATCAAATCGTCGGACCTATCCTAGGTCCTGGAGAATCACATCCAAAGGAAATCTTCACTCGTCAATATGAATAACTTGTCCCGATGGCGTTGAGGGATACACGAATAACAAAACAGGATACTACTTTTAACAGGCTACATCCACCACCAGGGGAACAGAAAACGGCACATTACATAGAAACCAGCGACAACACTACACATACAGAAACAAAGACAGACACAAAAAAATAAACAGATAAATCTTCTTCAATAAGCAATCACCATCTATCCTATAAATCAAGCCGTCCTAGCCCTAGTATGTCCATTCCATTCCGTCCCAGTCCAGATGTATAATGCAGGTGCATGTACCCCTTCCCCCAAATGCAACTAACCAACCAATCAATCAATCAATCAACCAACCGATACACCCAATGCTTTGAGTTGTGTTTGCGGTTGCCCTTCCGAAGGCAAGAGAATAGTAACCCGTGTACGCAAAACATAGGTAAAGCACGCCAAACGCGAGAAACAAATGCAGACAATAGCCTCAAAACACGATCAGAAAAGAAGGAAAGAAACAAACGATATCAAGACAGGGGGAAAAAGTGTAAGATCGGGACGTATACAGATCACAGACGAAAAGATGAGCAAACATGATACAAAGAAGGGGGTTAAAAACTTTAGGAAGATCGGACGAGGATGGATTAAAAAAATAATTGTCAGAGGGAAAAGAAAAAAAAATAATAATTGACTCCTTCTATAACCCACTCACTGCGGTAGGGGGTATCTCGTTAAATAAATAAAAAGAAAAATATATATAAGAAACGAACAAAAAACAGCATATACCAGAAGTATAGTGGGGAAAGAGATGATGTCGAGATGGAAGGCGGACTCAGCTCATCCTTTGGAGGGCATTGAGCGAGGGCTGTCGAAGCCAACACGGTGCGCGGGTATTTCTCGTAGCAAAGGCGTTTACTTTCGAGACGGCATCAGTTTCCGGCCCAGGCTGCGAAACGTGCTCTTGGAACTAAAGCGTGTGTTAGCACTTATCCTATAAACAGGGCCAAGAGGAAGAAACTTACCTCTCATCAGGTGGTCCATCCCAGTATTTCGTCGTGTGAGTACGCGGCATAGCCGGCCCCGAAGTTACCGGTCGACTAGTGGGGTTGATAAACCGACGAGACTGTTCCCATCGAGCGTCTGCGTCGACCTCACTCGCGGAACGAGTATCCGACGCCAGTCCGGATTCAGGAGTGCTGAGCATACTGGAGCCCATGGAGTTCGAGCGCCCGAGAGGGAAGGTTCCGGACTGGACGTCTGAGCGTTGTGACCGCTGCGAGCGAGACTCGAAGGATTCGCTGTTGGAGTCGGCGCTCACCATGCTTTTGTCGGAGATGGTTGCGGCGGAGCTGTCCGGGTTGTGAAGGAGCTGGAACGTGTTCGCCATCTCGCGGTGCTTCTTTTGCTGCTGCTTGTTGGGACGGTGGTGCGAGAACTTGTTGCCGAGGATTGCGGGCGCGTGCGAAATGAGAGCTTTGATCACGTCTTTCTTCAGGCGCAGGGCGAGATCCAGGTTGGACCATGTTTTGTTCCGGTACTCCAGGACGGGCAGCCGGAAGACGAAGTCGTGCAGGTCTTCGAGGTTGTGGTCGCCTTTGCCTTTGTAGCTTAGGCAGAGCACGACGTCGTGGACTTTGACGTGCGCAAGAGTCATGTAGTTGGAAGCGCGGGACATCATCTGGGATAGATCGTCCGTTGCCTCCTTGCTCTTACTTGCCTTGTTGGTCCTCGCGAGCGCAAACTTTCTACCCTTCTCTTCCGCCTCTTTAGGCGTGGATCCATTGACGGCGGGTTTCTCCGTAGCCTGCTGCCTCGACAAGAGCCGCAAACTATCACCCGACTTCTTCTTTGACAACGCGCCGCTTGTAGCCGGGCGCCGGAGTCCGTCAGACTGCTTGTTGTCCTTGTTAAGCGGTGTCAGCGCGAGACCCCTCGACTGAGTCAGTCGGCCCTGGGTCCGAGGTCGCGTCTCTTCCGACAATGAAAGCGTAGGGTGCAATCTGAGTTCGATAGCACCGGGCCCCTTTGTCAGGAGATCGTCTGTCGAGACGTCGCTGTTTTCCGGCGCACTAGGAGCTTCGCCCGGACTGCCATCTTCCTCCTCGTCGGAATCCTCCAGGGGCTTCACGTTCTTGATCATGAATGGCGAGAAGCCTCCGTTCTCGAACGCAGCGGTCCCCACATTAGGGAAGATATACTCGAACACTTTCTGGCCGAGCTCGCGCTCCAGCTGGACCTTCAGAGGGAAGAGAGACACCTCGAAATCATCCAGCACAGGAATCCCAGCGACAGCTTCCTGCATGTGCCATTTCACCTTGATCATGTGGTCGGTTTGGTCATCTAGATTCTTTGCCTGATCCAGATATGGCACAATAATCTGAGGATAAATGGCATCGGGGAGCAGATTCAACCCGTAGAGACGTTCGACCGCCACTAGATTGTGATTCGAACCATCGCTATTGTCCGTACGGTCATACTCGGCATTCCTTAGTTGGAATTCGACCAGCGGCTCCGTCTCGTCCTTCATCAGATGCCAGGCAATCTCACTAGCGGAGATATTCCAGCGCAGAACACCATTCGCTCCGCCCATCGTCGGCTCGATCTTTCGCTGAGACGTCGTGATAGCCTTCATCAAAAAGAACAGCTCATCCTCGCACTGGGAAAGATCCTTCTCAAGCATCAAACGATCTTCCCAGCCCTGTCGATCCAGGTATTTGGCGTGGATCTGGAAATGCTCCTTGATCTCCTCGAGCTGCCGAATGCGAGCCTGCAACTTGAACACCATCTCGGGCGCGCCTCTCAGATCGCTGAAATCGGAGGTGAGCATAATCCTTTCGAGACGCTCATTGCGGACCTTCTCCAGCGGCTCGCGGTAAAGCAGCAGGTCAAGCACAATGATGTACATTGAGTAATACTCAGCAGAGTCGCAGATGGCGCGGAAGCGAGGGAAGTCGACGCTGATCTGGTCCATCCGCGACTCCTGTCCGTCGAGAAGGTGGGGATGGTCGTTCTGCCCCTTGGCTACCTCTTCATTATACTTCAGGCGCAGGTTATTGTACTTGTCGTAGCGCAAACTGGCCGACGTCTTCTGGATAATCCGGGAGAAGCCGAATGGATTCAATTCGAAATCAAACATTGCCTCCAGCGTCAGCCAGGGCGGCCACGCAGAGCCGGGAGAGTTGCCGTATTTGTTGCCAGCATAGAACTGCAGGTGATTCATCAAGTTCTTCTGCGTCGCGACGAAGAACTGGGCCCCGTCCATGTCGAGCGAGAATCGGCGCTGCACCAGGCCGCTGACATCGTCAGACACACGCTCCTTATCCATGATCGACACGACCTGGAGCTGCATGCCCTTGGCAGCAACAAGCAGGACGGATTTCTGGTTCTTTTCGCTCTGGAGCTGGATCTGAGGCGCGATGAGGCGCAGATGGTAGCTGTTTTGCGGCGTGAATTCCGGCATGATGTTCTCGCTGGAGCCGTCGGAGCTCAAATTGTCCTGTTTCTTCTTCTCCTCTGCGTCGAGTTCCTCCGCGTTCACGAAACGTTTAGCGTCGTTCAGCAGCTGCTCGATGCGCTCTTCGACGCTGTCATCGTCGTCGTCGTCGACCAGACCGCGGCAATCGGAAGGCCGTCTTGACGCGGAGCGGAATAGCTTCGACTGTCTCCGCTGGTTCTTGCTCTGTTCGTCGACGATGTCCAAGATGAACTTGACCGCTCGTCGAGACATGTAGTAGACGAACCCGCGCCTCTGGCCCACCTGGTGACTATACCGCAAGATGATATTCCGGAGCGAGTTGTTCCACTTGAACTGTGTATTGTGCAGCATGAAACGGTTGTTGAAGTCGCTCGCGAACTCGTCGTTGGGAGAGGAGTAGAACCCGTCCATATCAGCGTCTCTGCCCTCAACTGGCGAATCAAAGCCCGCCCTGGAAGCGCTGTCGGCCGCAACGGATTCGGGGTTTTTGTCGACGGGTGTCTTCTCCTCCCGGGCCAGCTGTCTCTCCAAACGCTGGAGGCCAGCAACGAGGAAACCTCGCCGTCGCGTGAGAGATTCGGAATGCTTCATGTAGTCGGCGTGCTTCTGTTTCAGCGCGGGGTCGGGGCCGACCTCTCTCGCCATCCGGAGTTCCTGCTCCCCAACCGTACGCTCACAGTCCCGCATTTGGGCCTCGACAGTAGCAAGGCGGTCCCTGATGAGTTCCATCTGCACCCGCCGCGGCTCGTTATTCTCCGACATGACACAGTCGTGAGTGGGCTCGTGTCCAAACGTGCTGTAACCTGTTTGGTCCGGCATTATCCCACCGTGGTCCGTTTCACGGAAATAAGTGAAGCACGGGGTGAAAGCCAGCGGCAGAATCTGCGTTCGAGGGTTCGACTCTTGGGGAAGTATCCAATCCAACTCGACGAAATCATCCATGTCGACCCAGTCCAGGTTTTGATCGGGGATTGTAAACTTGGACAGATCGACGGATGCAACGGGTTGCTGGAATGACGATATGATGTCGTCCTTGTTCTGTTCTATATCATCGAAATTGGTGCCTTCAATGCTAGCCGAGACGGCCCTAAAGTCTGCTGCCTGCAGATCCAGTTGAGCCTGGTTGATGCGCATGGCGCTCGCTTGTGTCTGCTTCAGACGTCCTTTGGCCAGTGTCTTGATCTGTTCGCGTCTTTGATGAAGGTCAAGCTTCAGGCTGTCCAGGCGGACCTTCAATCCTGTCGCCGTGACGACGTCTTCAGCATAATCCTCCCGGTCCTTGTGTTTGTAAATGTGCGCCACAAAGAGCGGAGCAAGAAGCACCTTGTACTTCACCGTTGCGAGATGTCGATTGAACTTTTTGCTCGTCTTCGTAACACCCGGCCAGAGCGGTCCCTGACGGACGGGGAGCGACATGACACCGGAGAACAGCGACCACCAGTTGAAGAAGTGAGTGAAGAAGCGAGGGGACAGATGGATGGCGTTGTAGCTGGAAGACGGCTGCACATGGTTCACGCACCAATTCCTGCTCTCGGGGGCGATAACAGCAACTGACAAGTGGATATGGTTACTTCGGAAGCCACGGTAGGCGTCGTAGACCTCTCTCTCGGCAGGGTCCACGTAGAGAGGATTCCGAAGAACAACGTCGTAATGGGGTTTGAAAAGGAATGATCGCTCGGATTCGCTGAGATTGCGCTCGAAGACCAATCCAGCGCCCACCCTCACATCGCCAGACAGTTTCATAACAACCTTCTTGAAGAGGGCTGCGTTCTTCATGTCGCTCGACGATGACGCGGTCTCCGTGTCGTGGGTTGTGGCTTCCGCCATGTATCGGGCCTCGTGGCTGTAGTCGGGTATAGCCATCACGAACTCACCGCTGGTGACAGCCATGAGTTCTTTCGGATCGTCACTAGTATGGATGTCCCATTTGACATCCTTACGCCAGCAAATGACAAATCCAGCGCCGAACCCGGTTACCACGTACGGGTCGCGAGAGCCCTTCAAACGTAGATGAACATCGCCGTCCTCTTTCCATACCACTCTGAGTCGAGAGTGGAAGCTGAGCCTGATCTTATCCCAGAAGCCAACCCGATCCGACGGGTCAATTTCCGTCTTCGTGAAGCCTTCGATGATCTTCATCATGTCCTGGATTACGGGCTGGTATGACATGCCCCAGGAGATACTAGTCGGGAGGCTGGTGTTGATCTCGATGGTAGGGTCGGAATAGGTCTTGACTGGGGAGACGGACCGCCAGACCTTGATGTCGAATGCCGGGCTTG